TGGGGGCACCGAGCGGCGAGGCGCGTGGGGCAGGCCTGGCCACCCGGCCGTCTGCACTTAACTGGTCCAGTGAGAGCAGATGGCATCAGAGGGCTGCCGCCCAGCTGTCCCCGAAGGCTGTGCCCGGGAATCGCGTCCCGTAAGGGCTCCCGGGACGATGTCTCTGGAATGCGGTTCCAGAGTTTCCGCGACGGAGAGTACTTTTCATGTAACTGCAAGTGCTTATCTGCGTTCTAGATGTAACTGGGACGGCTAGCCCCTCCTTTCCTGGACTGCGCTGTGAAGTAAAGAAGGGGGTGGCGGGGTGCAGAGAGAAACTGGGCGCATTCTAGATTAACCGGTGGAGATTTCAGCCTGAACGTAGCCTTAACTCCACTGGCTAACACTGAGTGGCATTTTGCATTGCATGTGTATTTTCCTTTATAAAGTGTGTGCGTTCTGGAGCGTTGGGTGTAAGTAGTGAAGGACTGTAGCCCTGCCAGTTAAGAGAGGTCTATGGTGAGCCCTTAGTGAAAATGGAAGGTAATTGCTAATTCGTAGCGTATGCACAGAGAGGGATTTTCATATCTTAAGTTCACTTCAAGTGGGACACATCTGGATGTGTAAAGCGTAAGTAGCATGTTCAGAAAGGGAGTAAGTAGGAAGACGCTGTGGCAATGCATATGCACACAGCGCCTCCAGAAATGAAGCACGAAGCCCCGCTGGCTCTGGTACCCGACGGGCCTTGAACCTCGCAGCCAGGAAGCAACTGTGTAGTGCTGTGAATCACTTAGCCCCTGTGGCCCTAGCATTTTTACCCACAGAGTGGAGCCTGGAACTTACTTAAGTATTTGGGACGCACTCTGGGCTTGGAATGACAAGCTTTGCATTCTCAACTGGGTTCTCCCTTAGCACCTGTGTGATGTAATCTCCTTGTGCCTCGGTATATCCATTTGTAAAAGTGAGAATAACCATGCCATCTGGCAGGGCTAGTCCCATAGCCAAGTAGTTAAGGAAGCTGGATTCCACATGGTGGGCTTGGGTTTGATCTCAGCCCTGCAGGTTTAGAAAAACACATGGTTGGGACCAGCAGATGGCATAATGGCTACGCCAACTGCAGTGTGAGTCCTGGACCTTGTGGCTTAAACTCATGCCGGGCGCATGTGCATGTGTGCTCAAGATCCCAAGAGGAGAATGGAGAAGGGATTGCAGCGTGGCCATCCCCCCGGGGGGTGATTTCTCACTTTCTGTCTCTCTGTGTCTTGCTGTCTTTCTGGTGAGCGCACTCATCCTATAGCAAAAACTTCTCAAAAAAAAAAGGAAGAAAAACACATGATGGGGGACAGTGAGTAGAGTAGTGGTTAAGGTGCTGGACTCCCACATGGCTGATCGCTGACCATGGTTCAAGTCCCAGACCCCATGACTTGAAACTCATGCTGGCTGCATGTTTGTGTGTGCCCACAATTCCAGGAAGAGAATGGAGGAGCAGGGACTGCAGTGTGGCTACTCCCTGGGAGGGGCAATTTCTCACACACTCTCTCTGTCCCTCCAGCGAGTACACACGTCCTATAGCAAAAATCCCTAAAAAATTTTTTTTAGAAAAATACGCTAGATGCAGGTATACCTAGAATCCCAGCAGGATGGAGAGATGGAGGAGAAGGGATTGTGTTGTGACCATGCCCCTTTGGGGGTGCCGTCTCCCTCTTTCTCACTCTGTTTCTCTGGCAAGTGCATGTGCCCTGTTGCGACCAAAAAAAATAATAATACCACCTGGCAGAACTGGTCAGGATTATGTGAAAGAGTGCGTTTGAAAGCATGTGCCATCCTGCCTGGCACAGAGCAGGTGCCTGAGAGGAAGGAGTCGGTGGCCGACGGTCTCCCTGGAGCGCAGCCGCGCACTGGGACCCTGTGGCTGCTGCCTTGGGGCTGGGCTGGAGGGCCGGTCCTGCTTAGTGCCTTCCTGAGGTCCAGCAGACACTGATGTCCTCCATTCAGATACCTTCAGCAAAACCAGAGACCTGGGCTTGGGAAACCCCCCTGGCTTCCATGCTGCTCCACATTTAGCAAAGGATTACTTGTCGCTTCATTTTCCCGGTCTGCGGAATGGGGAGACGCATTAATAAACTAGCATGTGACCCAGACCTGGAAGAAGTTCAGTAATACCGTGCTCGCGCCGCCCAGTGAACTGTGTTTTTCTGCATGCTTTCACGTTGTTTAGAGGGTACCCTCCTCTGTCTCGGGTTACTCTGACCTGGACAGGGCCGGACACCAGGGCAGTAGGACCACAGGGGCTGGTTGGCCCTGGCCTGGTGCTGGGTCTCAGGAGCTTTTCTGTTTCTCCCCAGAAGGCCCCAGGCAGGGAGCGGAACAGCCAGCCCCATGGAGGTGACCTCAGCTGTGGGGAGAAGAGATTCTGAGCCCCAGCCAGGAAATGGATGCTTCCTGAGATCCTGGCCCTGCCCTCAGGAGCACAGAACACCCAGTCCAGTGGCCCCCCAGCCTCCTAGGATGTGGGGGGCACAGCTCCAAGACCACTCTGTGCTGGAGTCCAAGGTGAGGGCTCTGAAGGAGAAGATGACAGCAGGTAAGCAGGGGGCCGGCCCCTGCTCCACGTCCCAGCGGACATCCCCCAAGAAACCCAGATGCAGGCGCGTCAAAGCCAGGACCCCGTCAGAAGCATCTTCCCTGCCAGATGCAGCAGGGCCCCCTCCTGCTCAGAACCCGACTGACAGGCAGTTGGACAGGAGTGTCCCTGAAGAGGAGCCTGCAGGGATTGGAGGCCCCAGGCCCCCCAGGCCGCCCACCCCCAGGCCGGAGTGCAGGAATGGGAGGAGCCTGTGGCCTGCAGAAGCAGTGTGGACGCTGCCCGGTC